GACGAAGATAACGAATCATATTCAATTCAACCCCTATAATCGCATCCTGGTGGGTGCCGTGAATCGACCTTCACAAGTAACTTGATGACAAATGAATCGTGCCCAAGCTAAACCCTATAATGGGACCCTGTTGGGTGCCGTAGTTCGACCCTCACAAGTATTTTGGCCAAGCTAAACCTTGAAATCGAACCCTAGTGGGTGCCATTGTTCGACGCTCGCAAGTAACTTGGTGACAAAGATGAGGAATCGTGGCCAAGCTAAACCCTAAATTCGGACCCTGTTAAGTGCCGTAGTTCGGCCCTCACAAGTAATTTGATGATAAAGATGATGAATCGTGACTAAGCTAAATCCTAAAATCGGACCCTGGTGGGTGACATTATTCGACCCTCACATATAATTTCATGACAAAGACCATGGATCGTGTCAAGACTGAACTCTAAAATCGAACCCTGTTGGGTGCCGTTTGTCGACCCTCACCAGTAATTTGGGCATAACGACCATGAATACTGATAACGACCATGAATGGTACCGAAACTAAATCCTAAAATCGGACCCCGGTAGGTGCCGTTGTTCGGCCCTCACAAGTAATTTGATGACAAAGACGATGAATCGTGCCCAAGCTAAATCCTAAAATCGGATCCCGGTAATTATCATTATTCGGTCCTCACAAGAAACTTGGTGACAAAAACTATGAATCGTGGCCAAGATAAACCTTAAAATCGGACCCTGATGGGTGCCGTTATTCGACCCTCACAAATAAATTAATGATAAAGAAGATGATTCATGCTCAACCTAAACCCTAAAATCGGACTCTGTTGGGCGCCGTTGTGCGACCCTCACAAAAAACTTGGTAAACAGATGATGCATCGTGCCGAAATTAAGCCCTAAAATCGAGCCTTGGTGGGGGCCGGTGCTCGATCGTGCCTTAATGGCAAAGACGATGAATCGCACCCGAGCTAAACCCTAAAATTGGACTCTGCTGGGTGCTGTTATTCGACCCTCACAAGCAATTTGGTGACAAAGATCATGTGTGCTGACTAAGCTAAATCGGACCCTTGGGTGCCGATTTTTGACCCTCATAAATAATTTGGTGCCATAATTGTGCCAAACCTACACCCTAAAATCGAATCTTATTGAGTGTCGTTGGTCCTCGCAAGTAATTTGGTGACAAAGATAACGACTTGAGCTCAAGCTAAATCCTAAAATCGGACCCTGTCGGGTGCCGTTGGTCAGTCATCATAAGTACGAATCATATCGAAGCTAATTTCTAAAATCAGATCTTGTTGGGTGCCGTTGGCCGGCCCTCGGCAATAATTTGGAGATAAAGACGACGAATCGCACCCAAGCTTAACCTATAGTCGGACCCTCTTGGGTGCCGTTGATCGGCCCTTACAAGTAATTGGAGAATCAAGATAGTGAATCATGGCTAAATGAAACCCTAGAATCGGACCTTATTGGGTGCAGTTGGTCGCCCCTCCCATGCAACTTCGTGACGAAAACGACGAATCGTTCTCAAGTCAAACCCTAATATCGGTCCGTGATGGCTGCCATGGATCGACCCTTATAAATACCCTTAGTAATAAAGACGATGACTCGTTGCCAAACTAAACTCTAAAATCGGACTCTAATGGTTGCCGTTGGTCGGCCATCGCAAATAACTTCATAATGAAAATGACGAATCGTACCCAAGCTATATCCTAGAATCGGATCCTATTGGATGCCGTTTGTCGCCCCTCGCAAATAACTTAATAATAACGACGACTCTTCGTAGTCAAGTCGAATTTTACAATTAGACCCTATTAAGTGCCGTAGTTCGACCCTCATAAATTCCTTGGTAATAAAAACGATGATTCGTTACCAAGCTAAATCCTAGAATCGGACTCTGTTAGCTACCATTAGTCGGCCCTCGCAAATAATTTAGCAGAATAAAAAGTCAAGCCGGGAATCCCAAAATCCACGGAATATCCTCTCTACTCCTTCCCTACGTCCGAGCACCGTCGCTCTCTCCCGTGCCTCCTCCCCTCCCTACACCTTCCCTATACCCGCGTATCGTCCCCGTGCACCGTTATACCCGCGTACCATCCCCGTGCACCGTTATCGCTCTCTACCCCGGTCCCTTTCCTACACCTTCCCGCAGCCGTGCACCGTGCACGTATACCGTTATCACTCTCTGCCCCTCCCCTACACCCGCCCGCACCCCTCCCACCCGTGCACCGTCCCCGTATACCGTTATCGCTCTCTGCCCCTTCCCTACACCCTTACACCGTTTTCGTAGTCCCCGTATTTCGTTATCGCTCTCTGCCCCGGTGCCCACCCGTGCCGTGCCCCAGTCCCGTCCCTACTTCTCCGTGTACCCGTGCATCGTTCTCATGCTTTCCCCCTGCTTCCTTTCCTGCACCTTCCCATGCGCCATTATCGCTCTTTGCCCCTGCCCCGTCCCTACACCCGCCCACCCGTGCGCCCTTCATTATATCCGCGCACCGTCGCCGTGCTTCGTTCTCTACCCCGATCCCCCACCCGTACACCGTTCCCGTGAAACGTTATCGCTCTCTGCCCCTCCCTTTCCTGCACCTTGCCCTGCACCCGTGCACCGTTACCATTATCGCTCTCTGCCCTGCCCCCACCCGCGTACCGTCCCCGTGCACCATTATCGCTCTCTGTCCCAGTCCCCCCGTGCACCGTTCCCATAAAAGCCCCGGTCCCACCCGTGCACCGTTATCGCTCTCTGCCCCGGCCCCCTCCCTATATCTCCGTGCACCATTATCGCTCTCTCCCCTGGCCCGCTTTCCTGCACCTTGCCGTGCACCCGTGCACCGTTCCCGTATACCATTATCGCTCTTTATCTCTGCCCCTTCCCTCCACCCGCGCACCGTCCCCGTGCATCGTTATCGCTCTCTGCCCCGGTCCCCGCCCGTGCACCGTTCCCGTGTATCGTTATCGCTCTCTGCCCCTTCTCCGTCCGCGTGCACCGTCCCCGTGCACCGGTCCCCGTGCATCATTATCGCTCTCCTGCCCCGGTCCCTTCCCTACACCTTCCCGTACGCCCGTGTACCGTTCCCGTGCACCGTTCCCGTGCACCGTTATCACTCTCTGCCCCGGTCCCCTCCCTACAGCTTCCCATGCACCCGTGCACCCTGCGTGCATTCAGCCCGAGTACCATTTCATTTGCGCTCCCGTCGGGCTCTCCCGTCGGCTCGTTCCGCTCCCGTCGGCTCCGCGATCCCTCTATATACGACTTCCCCTTCGTTTGCTCTTCCCGGACGCATCGGCTTCGTTATCGCGCTCTAGCGGCTTACCGTTCTGAACGAGAACCCAACCCCAGAAAGAATTTTGGGAAAAAACGACGAGTCGTCCCCAAACTGAACTCTAGAAGCGGACGCTGTTGGGTGCCATTGGTCGGCCCTCGCGAATAATTTGGAGACAAAGACGACGTATTCAAGCCAAACCTTATAATCGCGCCCGGGTGGGTGCCATAAATCGACCCTTACAAGTAATTTAATGATAAACACGATGAATCGTGTCCAAGCTAAACCCTACAAACCCTATAATGGGACCCTAATGGGTGCCGTAATTCGACCCTCACAAATATTTTGACCAAGCTAAACCCTAAAATCGAACCCTAGTGGGCGCCACTAGCCGACCATCACAAATAACTAAATGACAAAAACGAGGAATCATAACCAAACTAAGCCCTAAAATCGGAGCCTAGTGGGTACCATAAAATGAAAATAATTTTTTAATAAATATACGTCTAAGAATTTAAAATAATGATAAAGGATTATACTAGAATCATAGCCATGCTGCCCCGATATCAAAATCAAGTAGTTCAAGACGAATACAATAGGGCTTTAGAGATCTACTTTGAATCTAAATAAAAATTATCTAGGATCCATATTGGTTAATATCAAGGCCATTTTGCGTCAAGCTAAAAGCCACAATAATGCTAGGGGACCGACATCAAAATTATTATAATATATAATTTTTTAATTTGCTTTGAATATTCTATTAGACAAGCTTAGAATAATTTTACGAAGATGACTAATTCTTTGCCGAAAAAATATAACGAGAAAGATATAATTATAATTCTTATTTCGAGCGTATTCGAGCGTTCGATATGAGTGTACTCGAGCGTATGCGCGAATATTCGGAAAGCAGTTGCCTATTGTGTCCGCAATGCAATATTCTGTATTATACATATCTATATTGGCAATGCAATACTCTATATTGTACATATCTATATTGGCATCTTTATTTAATTATCTTCTGGCTTTTCATGAATAGTTGTGCATATTTTCGTAAATATCGGCCTCCTAATCTGAATGGCGAACATATAATCTTGCCAATGCCTTCGCATACGTATCAGGACAAGTAGACCAGGTCATGTCGTTGGCCGAGATACACGTATAGGCACGCATGCATCGGCCTGTAAAAACATGTTGCAGTGGCCAGTCGGCTGGCTTCCTGTGCCCCACATTTCAAATCTTACAATGCCCCACATTCTGCATGATGACCCTCATCCAGGCGGCAGCTCGCACATCCACCTATGCCCCGAATCCCCGAAGCAGAAACACACTGGGCAAAATAAATTGTCATGCTTCTTAGCGAACCATGCCCCCAAGCCACATGCAGCAAAGCAAACAGCTCAACCTAAGAGCCTTCTGCTGCTCACTGCGGTACTACCTCAATCTCTTGATTCGGTGGCCACTCAGATGCAGCATGTGAAAGCTTTTCTTTCTCTGATGGAACTCGGATTCTGGAACGAGAGACAAGCACAAACGGCTGAGCCGCATCTACAGCTAAAAGGTAGGAGGGATCGATGCGATGGGTTCTATCTATTACAACGCTGGGTTTTGACTGTGGCTCATATGACATCTGTGCCCGTGAGCCAAAACCGTTCGAGCCTACTCTGGGGCACATCGGGCCCTTGTTTTCTGGAGCGGACCAAAGATGCGAGCGTGGCCGCCGATCCAAAGCAAGCACGCGTGTCTGGTTGGTGCCAGTCAGACAAGGTTTTCGCAACCCTGGCCGCCGATCCAACGCAAACAAGCCGTGTCTGGTTGGCTAGTGAGGACCAGGACAGTGACGCCGTACGGGAGACAGAGAGCTGGGACGCCTAAGACCAAAGCAGTCATGAGAGGACTGGAGCTCCACTCCAACTTCCTCCGTTGGGCATCTGCCTTCTGCCGCGGGATCAAGGGAAGCGCGCAAGCACCAAGCAGGGAGGCGCCATAAGTGAAAACATAGGACCAAGCTACAGTCGTTCGAAAACTTGGCGTGTCCATGGCGTAGTTCTCTGGTTTAGACAAGGAGGGAGTAAAGAGGCTGGAGACTTGATTGCTCACTGCCGTGGAAACTGGCTGGCTGGAGTGCATGACGGTTCCAACCAAGCCATAACACAAGCCTTCCTGTCCGGGCTCGGAGAGTTCGATGACAATCAGGTTCAAAATCAGGCCTAGAGCTGCAGTGGGCACAGAACTGGCCATTTCATCACCAAGGAAGAAGTACTGATTCCGAATCACGTCGAAGACTGCAAAGAAAGATGGGATGGAGTCCATCAGCGTCACTGCCAAGATGGCCACGAAGATCGATCTCCTCCAACATGACTGCAAGAAGTAAACCTTGTAAATCCAAACTACAACGATCATCATGACCATGCCTCCCATCTGGAAGAACTGTGCCTGCAGGACCTTGACCTCAGCCCAGATACATCGGACCAACGGCCTTGCAGTAGTGGTAAGCTGGCTCAGGAACTGTGTGATGAAGGCATAGAGCAGGACGCTTGCGAGGCACTTGCTTTGGATAAGACTCCTGAGTCCCAGCACAGCTTACGGCTTCGAGGTTGTGGGGGTTGATGGTAGCAGAATGTGGGAACATATTGGAAGTCTGCGCCGGGTCCGGCTCCGCAACAGACCAGTGGCCCCATCCGCAACCCTGGACCCACACCTGCACCCCCACATATGGCATCTGGGCACAATGGCACAGCCCTCAGACAAGATTCCAAGAGCTCTCCATATGTGTACGGAAGGATGGGCGCTCGACCTTCCTGGACTCATGGACGCACCTGTTGCTTCCCATCTTATCTGCTCCTTACATCTTCCCTATAGAAACCCTAGGTGTAACTGCTGTCTGCATAACCACTTGCCTATCTACCTACTTGCGTATCTCTTCTTCCCTCTCTATCTCGTTGTTTGACTAGCTAGCCGCATCCTTCTTCTATCTATCTACATATCTATCCGTCTGTCTGGTTGTCTGCCTATTTGCTTATCTATCGATCTTCCTCCCCATCTGGGAGCGGGAAGCCCTACTTCCCGTAAGTCGATTGCTGAAGACGACAGAACTCTCACCTCACACAAATCGGCAACATGCAGGCCGCGATGGCAAAGCACAAGATCATCAAGCCACTGAAGGATAGACCCCAGTCGAAGGTGCCCAAGTACTCCTTGCGGCTTTAGATGCTTGGTCGCCAGCCGACCCGTGATTGTAAGGTTTGCCCGCAAATGCCTCTATAAAACCTCGTCTGCATTTCCTCAAAAGTTTTAATAGAAGTATAGAGGTCGTTTCGGCTAAACAGGCATGTGTTTCTGGTCCTTGCGGTTCATGAACAATCCGATGACGGCAGAGGACGTGAGCGATCCGGCCATCGTGACCATGGTGAATTCGGCCTTCATCTTCCCGCGGCACTCAGGCGCCTCCGCCTGGATTAGGCTTTAGGAAGGACTCCGGGTCATCCTCTTCTCACTCTCTTCTAATTCTTGTACGCGCTGCACTTGGACTTGGGCTGCTATTATGCTTCCTATGCTAGGATACTGTAGCGGGATTCTGGCCAGGTAAAATTGAAGGAGGAGACGTTGTCGATAGTGCGATTATGAATACAGGTATATCGGAGGGCGCCTTGGAGTACTCCAACAACAAGCCCTCACCTGCAACACAGCCCAACTGGATGCCGGCCACAAGAGTGGACATGGGGATGACATACCAGTTCCTTACTTCGCCGAAACCGATCCACAAAAACGGTAAATTCACTTCAGAATTGAATGAACAGCGATAAGTCGTTCGGAGAGATTCTTCATGGAGTGGATGTCCGGATTGCACGGTGGCGACAGCGTGTCATAGCTGCCATCAGGATGTTGGCAGTAGTAGGGTGCTGGAAGTGGCCTCGTGCTCATGGTCAAGAGGGCACCGCCACAAACCAGCCAAGCTGCAAGCAAGTACGGCTTCCTTACAGGCAAGGGGGCATGTGTATGGGGTAACTGTAATGTAGGATTGGCAAAAAACATTGTGCCTTGAGGTGCTCTGCAAAACATACACTGCAGGACCCATCGTCACCGCCTCTTTGAAGCCCTTGGAAGGGAACTACTACCCACTAAAAACTGCCCAGCTTCCTGTTGTATCCAAGAATTGGGATGCAGTCGTTCATCACCCCCAGGGGAAGAAGCAGCACTTGTGGAAGCTGCATGAGGGATGTTACCGACATCATGACATTCGAATCCAATCCCATGTAGCCCAGGAAGAAGCCATATGACACGCCTGTCAGGGTAGGGGCAGGAGTGCCCTGACAGTGTAGTAAGTGTAGTATAGTAGTCATATCGTACGAAAACCAACTAATACCGATATAACTACGAAAAGAATAGTCTAAACGAAAGTGATTGACGCGAAGCCGACGATCCGGAGGAAACATCCAGCCTGTGACGGTGGCGTTCAGGAAAGCTAGAAAGAACCCCGAGAGTGGCAGGCCACAGGTAGCCACCGTCCAAAGACTCGCAACTTTTGGTGTCCTTATCTGTTCCATTTCATCGGCAAGGATTGGGTAGTTCTGAAATTTAGGCTCCGGTATCGCCATGCCTTCAAGACAACAGTTCCCGAGCACAAAAACCCCCAAAACGCAAGCTCACCTGCAAGGTAGCCTTAGGGCCTGAATGAAAATCGAGTACGTCCTGGCATCTGAGCTTCTGTGCGGCACACTCCTGCGAGTCATCCTTCTCACTCGAGGCATTCTCTGATTCTTCTTCCACCTCCACATCGGTGATGGTGCTCCCGACCAAGGGCTCGCTGCACATGTAATCCACCAGATCCTTCGTATCGAACCATGCATCCCATTCCCGTAACTTTAAACATCCTCCAGAATTTGTATTCTTGGCCGTTTTAACGCGGATTTCAGGATGATTCCTGGTTGTTGGCGGTGCTACCCGTGCATGTGCCAGTGGTGGTGCCCGCGGGGCGTCTTGCCAAAATGGCCATCCGTCTCGAATACGCGGAGAACTCCAACAGAAACCATTGGCAAAGCAATTAGATTCTTAGATCGTGCTGATTCATCCGAATTCTCCTTCTGCCTTTTCGTTTGTTTTCATTTTGTCCCAAATGGCCCGGGCCGTAGCCATCCGAATTCTTCTTCTGTCTTTTCGTTCGTTTTCAGTTTCTCCAAAATGGCCCTGCTGTAGCCATCCGAATTCTTCTTCTGTCTTTTCGTTCGTTTTCAGTTTCTCCAAAATGGCCCTGCTGTAGCCATCCGAATTCTCTTTCTGCCTTTTCGTTCGTTTTCAGTTGGTCCAAAATGGCCCGGGCCGTAGCCGTCCCAACTCTCCTCCTGCATTTTCGTTCGTTTT